CCGGAAAACTCCATCCCTTCTGCTTCCCTTGCCTTTTCTTTTTCTTTTCTTTTCTTTTCTTTTCTTTTTTTTTTAAAAAGGAAAGTAAGAAAGGTGAAAGGGCTAACCTGGTCCAGATCTGCAGGTTCCCCTTGTCTTCTAGCTCATTAGACGGTTAAATCTCCCAGCTTCTCTAGTTGAAAATAATCTCCCGTTGAAAAAAACGAGACCTGGTTACTATTTTTGAACTCAAGATTAAGCTGGGGGGGGGGTGTGAGGCTGGGACGGAGCCACGAAGAAAAAGAAGGAACGGAGGGATGCAAAAATGATGATACGAAGCCCACCTCCTTTTTCCTGACATCAGATCTGATTTTCACCTAACGTCGCTGCTTCCTTACCACATCAGATTTGTCACCCATGTAATTCTGACATTAATCACTGAAAAGACGTCGCATCTCGAGGCCGTAGCAAGCCCACTGTGGGCTCCGAGGAGACATCTGTCACATTATTTGCAAGAGCCAAGAGTGGCCTTGGTGAAAGAGAGCGAATATCCAGGACACACAAAAAAAAAACAACCTATCTCCCTTTAAATCTGCAATTTTAGTCTTTGCCCCTCATGGATATTTTATAGAAATTGCTTTCCGCTGCTCTGCAAAAATTATTATTATGATCCCACAAAACGCTGGGCCGATGTTTAGAGTCCTTCCCTTCCCGCACGAGGATAAATCTTGATTATTACGAAAGACCACTTCCTAGGAAGAAGTGGAATCAATGTGGAGTCTTGATTTTCTTTTAAGAGTCCAAGGCGGCCATCCGAGACTAGTAGCTCGCCTCGCAAAATTAGATTTTATCTGGGTATCTGGATTGAGCTCCCTTGTCCTCGGTTATTGGATTAAGCCATGCTTTTGAAATAAAGGGGAAATACCAGTAGTTGCAACCCCCTGCTGGGAATTTAAGCAGTCAACTGAACGCACTTGGCAATTAAATGTAACATTTCCCAGAAAACACACACATATGCAAGAAAAAAAAAGAAAGAAAAGAAAAGAGAAGGAATGAACTTAGCCAAGAAAGGAAACTGTACAAGAATATTATTGCTTTGCTGTTTGGAAAAGTCAGCAATCAATCCTTGAGATTTGACCGTTTCTTCTTTTCTTCTGTTATTTCTGCTGAAAGTTGAAACCTGAAATGGCTTGAAGGGAATTGCATTCTCCAGGAAATTTTAAAAAACAACAACAACACAAAAAACATGCTCTTAATAGCAGAGGTAGATCGTTCCCAAGCATTTTAAGACTCCTTTCTTCAAATCCATCGTCCTACTACTCCAAAGGATGTTTTTTTTAAAAAAAAAGAAGAAGAAGAAGAAGAAAGGAAGATATTCGTGGAATAACTTCCTAACCTGGAAATCAAGGCAGCCGAAGAGAAATATCTGGGGTTGGGGTGTCCTTGAAAAGTTTGGAGAGGGGAAGAAGTTGCTGTAGACAGGGCCTCCAAAAAAAACAAACAAAAAAACAAAACCCACAGAGATGACATTTCACAAAGTTGGATGGATTCAAGAGATGTCCTCTTTTGTTGTTCCCCTTGTCAAGCAAATTTCCTTGGCTGGCAGAGGCCTTGCAATTTTGCAAAATCACCAGGCAACCCAATACCTCATTCTTGGGCACAGTTGACTCCTGAGTTAGTCGAAGCTACAAAAGGAGGCATTTTCAACCCGCTTAACTTTGCCAGCCGAGTGAAGAATATATATATATATATACATATTCTTCTTCTATGGCCTCGCCTGGATATATATATATATCCAAGCAGGACGGAGGATTTGCTCTCCAAATGAGTAGAATGAAATGATCTAATCCAGGACGAGCAGATCCGTACCAAAATAAGCAGGGAGAAAAGTGATTCAGCTAGTACATTTTAGTCACATACACAACAGAAACACACACATACAAGGGGGGGGGGAGAGAGAGAGAGAATGAGAATCATGCAGGAGAAATGCCAAGAACATAGAAAGAAATCTCTGGGGTAGTTATTCATTTCCTGTTAGGAGATCTCTCTGCTTCTCTCTGTTAATAATCATAATATTAAAATCAGATTAATCTATGGTGCGTTCCCTTCTTCCCCCCCCTTTTTTTTTTTTAAAGGACGGAGTGAATCTGGAGAGAGAGAGAAGGCTGCTTGGGAAGAGAAAGAGGACAGGAGAAAGGGTTTGGAAGGGTGGTGGGGGCCGGGAAGAGAAGACTACAGGAAAGATTTGGTCTGGGGTGGGGAAGAAAAATAAACAATTGATGCAAATTGTTAGGAGGGCTTCAGAGGAGCCCAAGAGAAGCTTCAGGCGAAGGAGAGGAGGAAGAAGGAGGAAGGAAAGAAAGAGAGAGAGAAAGAGAGAGAGGGGAAGAAGAAAGGAATGGTAGGTAGGTAGGTAGATGGATAGACAGAGGAAGGAAGGAAAGAAAGAAAGAAAAGAGGAAAGGAAGGAAGGAATGGTAGGTAAGTAGGTAGATAGATAGATGGATAGATAGAGGAAAGAAGGAAGAGAGGGAGGGAGGAAGGGAAGGAAGGAAGGAAGGGTAGGTAGGTAGATAGATGGATAGATAGAGGAAGAAAGGAAGGAAAGAAAGAAAAAGAGAGAGGAAGGAAGGAAGAGAGGGAGGAATGGTAGGTAGGTAGGTAGATGGATAGACAGAGGAAGAAGGAAGAAAGAAAGAAAGAGAAAGAGAAAGAGGAAGGAAGGAAGGAATGGTAGGTAAGTAGATAGATGGATAGATAGAGGAAAGAAGAAGAGGAGGGAGGAAGGAGGAAGGGTAGGTAGATAGATGGATAGATAGAAAGGAAGGAAAGAGAAAGAAAAAGAGAGAGGAAGGAAGGAAGGAAGGAAGAGATGGAGGAATGGTAGGTAGAGTAGATGATAGACAGAGAAGGAAGGAAAGAAAGAAGAGAAGAGAAAGAGGAAGGAAGGAAGGAAGAGGTAAGTAGTAGATAGATGGAGATAGAGGAAAGAAGGAAGAGAGGAGAGGAAGGAAGGAAGGAAGGAAGGAAGGGTAGGTAGGTAGATAGATGGATAGATGAGGAAAGAAAGAAGGAAAGAAAGAAAGAAAGAGAAGAGGAAGGAAGGAAGGAAGAAGAGAGGGAGGAATGGTAGGTAGGTAGATAGATGGATAGACAGAGAGAAAGGAAGGAAGAGAAGAAAAGATAGAGGAAGGAGGGTAGGAAGATAGATGGATAGATAGAGGAAGGAAGAGAGGGAGGGAGGAAGGAGGAAGGAAGGGTAGGTAGAGATAGATGGAGATAGAGGAAGGAGGAGAGAGGGAGGAGGAAGGAAGGAAGGAAGGGTAGGTAGGTAGGTAGATAGATGGATAGATAGAGGAAGGAAGGAAGGAAAGAAGGAAGAAAGGAAAAGGGAGAGGAGAAAGGGGGGGAAAGAAAAGGGAAAGGATGACAACGAAGATGATGGTGCACAAATCGCGGTGGAAATCTGGAACGCGGGTTGCGGAGAGAGAGAGAGAGAGAGAGCCCTAAAAAACGTCCCCTTCCTTCCTCCTACATTGCTGCAATTCTAGAGGGGTTCCCACGCGCAAAATGGGTAACACGCTGCACCCCCCCCCTCCCCGGCGCCCCAAACCCCAAGCACCCCAATCGGAGAAAGTAGGTTGTTGCTAACTTTTCTTAGCAGCCCCCCCCACCCCCACCCCCAGCCCCCTCCAGCCGGGGCCAAGCCAGCCAGCCAGCCAACCGCAGGGAGGACGGCTGCGGACTTTTGCCCGCCCCGGAGCTGGAGGAGAGCCCGAGAGAAGCCCCAGGGAAGCTCCGCGCTACTCACCGGGAACGGGCAGGTGCTCGGGTCCAGCCGGGCGGCGCTCGGGATGGGGATGGAGCCGAAAGAGCGGGACGGGGGCCAGGGAGGGAGGGCTGCCCGCACCTCCGTATCCCCCCCCCCACTTTTCTGGCCAATGGGCCTTCTGGAGGCTGTCCACCCCCCCCTCCGTCCCCTCTCCGGCGAAGTTGGGGAAGGGGTAACTGCGGCGGGGAATTGGTGGGGAAGGGGGGAAGAAGCGATGGAGAACCGGCAAGGCAAAAAAAAAGAAAGAAAGAAAGAAAGAAAAAGGAGAAGAAGAAGAAGGAAGGAAAGTGGAAACCTTGCCTCCCGTCCTCCTCTCTCTCATTCCTTTCTTTTTTCCCCCCCCTCTTTTCTCTTCTCTTCTCTTTCTCCCTTTTTTTCTTTCCTTCCTTCCTGGGTTCTTTCCTTCCTTCCTTTGCTTTCCTCTTCCTTCGCTTCCGTGCCTCGTCTTTTTCTCCTCCCTCCCTTCTTTCGCTTTCCTCCCTCCCTTCCTCCCTCGCCTTCTCCTTCTTTCTTCCCTTTTCCTTCTTTCCTGCCGGCTCACTTTCTTACTTTTTTCCTCCTCCTCCTCCCTCCTTCCCTCCTTCTCCCTCGCTTGCCCAACTATAAAAAGGTGGGGGGGGAGGGGAGGGGAGGGGAGGGGGGGGCAGCCTTCAACTTTCCTCCTGCTGGAAAGAAACGCCCCGCGGGAGGGTCCCGATGGCCCGCATCCCCCCCTCCTCCCCCAACCCCGCCCGGAGCCCCCTCCCCAACCCCGAGAGGGGCTCAGCCTGGGGTGGGTGGGCTGCTCAAGGAAAGAGGGGCTCCCCAAGTTCAGGCGCCGCCGAGGGGACCCGCCGCCCCGACCATCCCGCTGCCCATCCCGGCGCCTTGCCTGCCCGGGCTGCGCTACTTCTTCCGCGGGCACCGAGCACTGCCGGCAGCGGCCATCCCGCGGGTCGGGGCGCTCTTAAAGGAGCCGAGCGGAGGATTGGCCGGCCGCGCAAGGCGGAGCACGGGCGGGGCGTCCGCTGCAGGGCGGGGAGGGGGGGGGAGAGAGGGATGGGGGCTGGGTGGGGGGGATGGGAGGGGGGAATGGGAGGGGTAGGAAGTGGGACGGGGGCGGGAGGGGGGGAGGGAGGGAGGGAAACTGGAGGTGGGGAGCGTGGGGAGGTGGGCAGAAGTGCCCGGGAGAGAGGGAGGTCTCAAGATTTGGGTTTTTCTTTCTTTCTTTCTTTCTTTCTTTCTTTCTTTCTTTCTTTCTTTCTTCTTTCTTTCTCTTTCTTTCTTTCTGTCTGTCTGTCTTTCTTTTTTTCTTTCTTTCTTCCACTTCCTTTCTTTCTTTCCCTCCGTCCCTCTTTCTTTCATCATCCATCCATCCATCCATCCCTTCTCCCTCTTTCTTTAAATTAAAAAAAAAAATTATATAACTTTATTGTCATTGTACGTGTATACACAGTATACCCATGCAACGAAGTTCACTTAACACCGGAAAACCAGGTTCTTCCTTCCTTCCTTCCTTCTTTCCTTCCTTCCTTCCTTCCTTTCCCTCCCTCCCTCCCTCCCTCCTTTCTTTCATCCATCCATCCATCCATCCCTTCTCCCTCTTTCTTTAAATTAAAAAAAAAAAATATATAACTTTATTGTCATTGTACGTGTATACACAGTATACCCATACAACGAAATTCACTTAACACCGGAAAACCAGGTTCCTTCCTCTTTCCTTCTTCCTTCCTTCCTTCCTTCCTTCTCCCTCCCTCCTTTCTTTCATCCATCCATCCATCCCTTCTCCTTTTCTTTAAATTAAAAAAAAAATTAAATAACTTTATTGTCATTGTATGTGTATACACAGTATACCCATACAACGAAATTCATTTAACACCCAAAGATCAGGTTCAACACACATAACAATCCCCAAAACCCTCCCACCCACCACAAATTCCCCACCCTAAACCACCCAAACATCCACACAACAGACCAAGTTCTTTCTTTCTTTCTTTCTTTCTTTCTTTCTTTCTTTCTTTCTTTCTTTCTTTCTTTCTTTCTCTTTCTTTCTTTCTTTCTTTCTGTCTATCTGTCTTTCTTTCTTTTTTCTTTCTTTCTTCACTTCCTTCCTTCCTTTCCTCGTCCCTTCTTTCTTTCATCCATCCATCCATCCATCCATCCCTTCTCCTCTTTCTTTAAATTAAAAAAAATTAAATAACTTTATTGTCATTGTACGTGTATTACCAGTATACCCATACAACGAATTCATTTACACCAAGATCAGGTTCAACACACATAACAATCCCAAACACCCTCCCACCACCACAAATTCCCCACCCTAAACCACCCAAACATCCACACAACAGACCAAGTTCTTTCTTTCTTTCTTTCTTTCTTTCTTTCTTTCTTTCTTTCTTTCTTTCTTTCTTTCTCTTTCTTTCTTTCTTTCTTTCTGTCTATCTGTCTTTCTTTCTTTTTTTCTTTCTTTCTTCCACTTCCTTCTTCCTTTCCCTCCGTCCCTTCTTTCTTTCATCATCCATCCATCCATCCATCCCTTCTCCCTCTTTCTTTAAATTAAAAAAAAAAATTAAATAACTTTATTGTCATTGTACGTGTATACACAGTATACCCATGCAACGAAGTTCACTTAACACCGGAAAACCAGGTTCCTTCCTTCCTTCCTTCCTTCCTTCCTTCCTTCCTTCCTTCTTCCTTCCTCCTCCCTCCTTTCTTTCATCCCATCCATCCATCCATCCCTTCTCCCTCTTTCTTTAAATTAAAAAAAAAAATTAAATAACTTTATTGTCATTGTACGTGTATACACAGTATACCCATACAACGAAATTCACTTAACACCGGAAAACCAGGTTCCTTCCTTCCTTCCTTCCTTCCTTCTTTCCTTCCTTCCTTCCTTCCTTCCTTCCTTCCTTCTTCCTTCCTTCCTTCTCCCCCTCCCTCCCTCCTTTCTTTCATCCATCCATCATCCATCCATCCCTTCTCCCTCTTTCTTTAAATTAAAAAAAAAAATTATATAACTTTATTGTCATTGTACGTGTATACACAGTATACCCATACAACGAAATTCACTTAACACCGGAAAACCAGGTTCCTTCCTTCCTTCCTTCCTTCCTTCCTTCTTCCTTCCTTCCTTCCTTCTCCCTCCCTCCTTTCTTTCATCCATCCATCCATCCCTTCTCCCTCTTTCTTTAAATTAAAAAAAAATTAAATAACTTTATTGTCATTGTACGTGTATACACAGTATACCCATACAACGAAATTCACTTAACACCGGAAAACCAGTTCCTTCCTTCCTTCCTTCCTTCCTTCCTTCCTTCCTTCCTTCCTTCCTTCCTTCTCCCTCCCTCCTTTCTTTCATCCATCCATCCATCCCTTCTCCCTCTTTCTTTAAATTAAAAAAAAATAAATAACTTTATTGTTATTGTATGTGTATACACAGTATACCCATACGACGAAATTCACTTAACACCCAAAGATCAGGTTCAACACACATAACAATCCCCACACCCTCCACCCACCACAAATTCCCCACCCCTAAACCACCCAAACATCACACAACAGATCAAGTTCTTTCTTTCTTTCTTTCTTTCTTTCTTTCTTTCTTTCTTTCTTTCTTTCTTTTTCTTTCTTTCTTTCCTTCCTTCTCTCTGATGCTTCCCTCCCTCCCTTTTCTTCCTCCCTCCCTCCTTCACCCTTTCCCTTCCTTCCTTCCTTTCCCTCCCTTTCTTCCTCTCTTCCTCTCTTCCTCCCTCCTCCTTCACCCTTTCCCTCCCTCCCTTCCTTCCCTCCTTCCCTCTCAGCATTTTTCTCTTTCTATCGCAGTCTTCCTTTTTCCCTCCTTCCCTCCCTCCCTTACAACACCATTTGGCATGTTGATCCCCAGATTCAGGACAATTTCCCTCCCCATTGGGGTGTTGAATTCCTGGGGGAATGCTGGAATTCTGCAAAAGTTGAGAAATCCTGATCTGCTATGACCTTTTGTCCATGAAGACTTCCTTGGTCTCACCCAGTGAGACCAAGGGGAATGGACACTACATGAATCGAGGGAGGGGTCTGTGCTATGACAACTCCTCCAGCAGGCTGAGTGCTCATGCACTTATGACCCACTTATGACCCATAAGGCGAAGCTGACCTTGGGGAAGGAAGGAAAGGAAGGAAGGAGGGGAAGGAAGGAAGGAAGGAAGGAAGGAAGGAAGGAACTTTGAGGAAGGACTCAGAAAAGAGGCTGCAAAGACCAGAGATAGGAGGAAGCAGGAGGAAAGCAAGTTCCAAAGATTCCCTGCTCTGGTTTTGCAGGCTTTCAAGACAGTATCGCTATAAAGTAATATTCCTGGAATCCCTATGGCGTTTCTTGGCCAGGCCTATCTCAGAAGGCTGATCAGTGCTCCCATAAACGAAGGAGAGAGAGAGAGAGAGAGAGGGAGAGACAGATAGAAATGGATCAATAGAGATAGATGGAGGGATAGATGGAGGGATAGAGATTGATGATAGAATGATAGGATAGAGAGAATATAGAGATAGAGATGATAGAGAGAGAGACAGACAGACAGACACAGAATGAGAGAGAGAGAGAGAGACATGGATAGATAGAGATGGATAAATGGAGATGGGTGGATAGATGGATGGATGGATGGTTAGAGATAGAAGATAGATAGATAGATAGATAGATAGATAGATAGATAGATAGATAGATAGATGATAGACAAATGATAGACAGCCAGATAGATAGATGATAGATAGATAGATAGATAGATAGATAGATAGATAGATAGATAGATAGATGATAGGTAGATAGATAGATGATAGGTAGGTAGATAGGATAGATAGATAGATAGATAGATAGATATGATAGATAGATAGATAGATAGATAGATAGATAGATAGATAGATGATAGGTAGATAGATAGATAGATAGATAGATAGATAGATGATAGGTAGATAGATAGATGATAGGTAGATAGATAGATAGATAGATAGATAGATAGATAGATAGATAGATAGATGATAGGTAGATAGATAGATAGATAGATAGATAGATAGATAGATAGATAGATTAATATAGTGTGGAGAAAGAGAGAGACAGACAAACACAGAATGAGTAAGTCGAGGACCACCTGTACAATAAATAAATCAAAAGCATCTACTGGCTACTTAAAAGAAATCGAAACCGATTCGTCAATTACTCGCTTATCAACCGGATCCGAGAATAGCTGTCGAGGTGGGAAACAGGCGGCAGTTTTATTGATTAAACGGCATAATTGTATTGTTAATGTCTCTGCTGTGACCCATACATGACTCGGTCATGCGAGAGCGATTGTTATCATTCTTATTCTCCCCCACAAATTCTTCTTGGCAACGTCCATCAATTTAAAACAAGGCTTGTGGAATAAAAACCACGAAATCAAGCCATAAACTACTCTCGCATTAAAACCCAGCAGCATTGACGCCGACTATAAAATACAATCACTTTGCAATTAAATTGCCATATCACCCATGGAGAGCTGCAGACAATACCATTTGGCTAAAAAAAATTGATAAAAATAACAGCAGAACGTGGGATTAGGAGGCAGGAGTTACGACTCCCAGCGTCCCTCCTCTTCGGGGCTGCTGGGATTTGTAGTACAATAACAGGGGTCTCCAGCTAATAAGAACGTCCATAAATATCAAGCTCTTGAAAGGAAGTGAAAAAGGTTTGGCCAACCTTATTATTCTATATTCTGTCTCATTTTCTGCTGAGATGTTGGAGAGAGAGAGAGAGAGAGAGAGAGAGAGAGAGAGAGAGAAAGAGAAAGAGAGAGCGAGAAGAAAGAAAGAAAGAAAGAAGAAAAGAAAAAGAGAGAAAGAGAGAGAAAGAGAGAGAGAGGTACAGAGAAAGAAAGAGAGAGAGAGAAAGATAGAAAGAGAGAGAAAGAGAGAGAAAGACAATAACGGGTCTCCAGCTAATAAGAACATCCATAAATATCAAGCTCTTGAAAGGAAGTGAAAAAAGTTTGGCCAACCCTATTATTCTACATTCTGTCTCATTTTCTGCTGAGATGTTGGAGAGAGAGAGAGAGAGAGAGAGAGAGAGAGAGGGAAAGAAATAAAGAAAGAGAAAGAAAAGAGAAAAAGAAAAAGAGAGAGAGAAAAAGAGAGAGAAAGAAGAGAGAGAGAGGTACAGAGAAAGAAAGAGAGAGAGAGAAAGATAGAAAGAGAGAGAAAGAGAGAGAAAGAGAGAAAGAGAGAGAGAGATTGAGAAGTTCCTTGAAGATGGGCTCTAGCACAAGTCCAAAAGCTTGGAAGAATAAATTTCTGGTCCTGGTGACAGACCGAAATTGGATCTGGACATTCTTCTTCACCACCTTCCTGGTGTCTTCTCTTCTACTTTCAGATCATTTCTTCCCGAAGTGTGAATGGAACCGTCCTTCAAGTGGAAGTTCTACCTTCCATCCCTGCCATGCCATCCTTCTCATCTCCAAGTTGGAGATGAGCAGGATTAGTTTCTGAAGTCCAGAAGAGCTTGGACTTCCAGCCTGGTCAAACTGATCTTCTATCATCTGGTGTCCTCCACATTGGTCTGAGGTTGACAGGAGATGTGGTTGAATACATCTGAAGGGAACATAGGGTTGGAAAATACCTTGGAGGTCTTCTAGTCCAACTCCCTGTTCAAGCAGGAGACCCTACATCATCCTGGACATACATCCAGTGATGGAGCACCCACAACTCTGGGAGGTGAGCCATTCCATTCATTAATTGTTCTCACTGTCAGGAAAGTTCTCCTTAATTCTAGGTTGGATCTCTCTTTAATATCTACGGAGATTCTCAGTCCTCCATGTCATGGTTATCCCAAAGGTGCTTTTTCAAGAGGACTTCCTTTCTTTTTCTTGGAAGACGTTTCGCTTCTCATCCGAGAAGCTTCTTCGGCTCTCACTCGATGGTGGAGAATGGAAATTAAAAACTCTCTCCAATGACCTCCCACCCATTCCTTCTTGCCCTGCCCTCAGGTGCTTTGGAGAATAGGTCAACCCGAGAGGTGGGTTTCAGCAGGTTCTGATCAGTTCTGGAGAACCGGTAGCGGAAATTTTGAGTAGTTCGGAGAACCAGTAGCGGAAATTTTGAGTAGTTCGGAGAACCGGTAGTGGAAATTTTGAGTAGTTCGGAGAAACGGTAGGGTAGCGGAAATTTTGAGCAGTTCGGAGAACCGGTAGCGGAAATTTTGAGCAGTTCGGAGAACCGGTAGTGGAAATTTTGTGTAGTAGTTGGTAGTTCGGAGAAACTGGTAGCGGAAATTTTGAGTAGTTCGGAGAACCGGCAGCGGAAATTTTGAGTAGTTCGGAGAACCGGCAAATACCACCTCTGGTTGGCCCCAGGAGTGGGGAGGGAATGGGGATTTTGCAGTATCCTTCCCCTGGAGTGGGGAGGGAATGGGGATTTTGCAGTATCCTTCCCCTGCCACGCCCACCAAGCCATGCCACGCCCACCAAGCCACGCCCACAGAACTGATAGTAAAAAAATTTGAAACCCACCACCGATGTCACCCCTTACTCCTTCTCTTCGTTAGACTGGAGGTACCTAGTTCCTTCAACGTCCATCGTACGGTGGAAGAAGAGACTGCGCAGTCATATCTCGAGGGCTACCCTTTCCGCCTTCCTCCAGTTTCCCCACAAATTGCCGGAATAGATGGAATACTTAGCGATTCCTTGGGGAGATAGGTATCCAATATTGCTTACGGAGCAACTGTTGGGGAGGTGGGGGTGAGTGGGGAGCGGGGGCTTCTGGATAGATTCAGACCGAGTCGATCTGCCAAATCAGAATGATAGAGAGTGACCTTCCTCCGTCGCCTGGGCTGAATGCTAAGTAGCCGGTTGATATAATTTATTCTTGGAAAGACAAATTCTAGCTTCAGATACCAAATTTCAGCTCGATGGTTGGGTTGTCGTCGTTGTTGTGTGTGGTTTTTTTGCAGGAAATTTCTGTCTGCTTAAAACAAAATCCTTCTTGTTGAACTGCAGGATTCTTTCTATTTTCCAAGCCGGATGAGCTATTTGTCCTGATGCATTTGTGATGCTCTGGTTGACGGAAACCACGATCAAGCCAACAAATGACAATTGCCTGCGTTCTCCTAACACCGCTCAACCATCAGCACCTATTTTTGCAAGTAGATGCACAGGTAGTCCTTGACTTATTAACCATTCATTTAGCGAACAGTGGTAGGTTTCAACTTTTTTTTTTACTACCGTTCTGTGGGCGTGGCTTGGTGGGCGTGGCGTGGCTTGATGGGCGTGGCAGGGAAGGATACTGCAAAATCTCCATTCCCTCCCCACTCCAGGGGAAGGATACTGCAAAATCTCCATTCCCACCCTGCTCCAGGGGAAGGATACTGCAAAATCTCCATTCCCTCCCCATTCCAGGGGAAGGATACTGCAAAATCTCCATTCCCTCCCCACTCCAGGGGAAGGATACTGCAAAATCTCCATTCCCTCCCCATTCCAGGGGAAGGATACAGGCCCCAAGTTGGAATTTCTTTCCCCTCCAACCCGCACAGAAAGACCCCCGAAGGGGGAGACTCTCTGCAGCAACACAAATGTTCATTGCATGTATCTGTCCCAGGGGCCGTAGTTTGAGGACCCCTGATTTAGTGCAATAGAACAAATGCAAATAGTTTTTCTGTGGACCAGTATTTATTTATTTTATTTATTGAATTTGTATACCACCCTACTCCCGAAGGACTCAGGGCGGTGAACAGCCATAGAATAAAACATATAAATACAAAATTTAAAACAGATTAAAACGAATTAAATAATTTGGCTGAACAAATTTAAAACCCCAATAATTTAAAATCAGATTTAAAATTTCCATTTAAAAAGGGGAAAGACTTAGGTCAGGCCGGCTTGATGAAATAGGGAAGTCTTGAGCGCGCGACGGAAGGTACGCAGATCCGGGATCCTCCGTATCTCCGGGGGGAGCTTGTTCCAGATCGTAGGTGCCCCCACAGAGAAGGCTCTCCCCCTGGGGGCCGCCAGTCGACATTGTTTGGCGACGGCACCCGGAGGAGCCCCTCTCTATGGGAGCGTACTGGCCGGTGGGAGGCTATTGGTGGTAGCAGGTGGTCCCGTAAATAACCAGGTCCTAACCCTAAGTAAAATTTTCTCACAGATCACCGGTGGTCCACGGACCACCAGTTGGTGACCTCTGATCTAATCCAACCCTATGTTCATGCAGGAGACCCGACACCACTTTGGACAAATGGTTGTCCAACCTCTTCTTAAAAACCTCCAGCGTTGGAGCATTTACACTTTCTGGTGGCAAGTCGTTCCACTGATTAATTGTACACTGAATCCTTCCGTATCGGAGACGAATTCCTTGTGGGCCTAATCACACTTGGCCAAATAAGGTACAGTTAGTCCTTCACTTAGGAGCAGAGTTGAGCCCAAAATTTATGTTGCTAAGCGTGACATTGGTTAAGCGAATTTCGCCCGTTTTACGATCTTCCTTGCCACTGCTGTTAAGCGTGTGTTTTTGCATTTGTTGAGTTAGTAACGGTTGTTCAATGAATCCGGCTTTCCCCATCGACTTTGGGATGCTGTGGCCAGGAGTTGCCAAGCATCTAAATTTTGATCCTTTAACCAAGGGGATGCTGCAACGGTCATAAGTGTGAAAAAAAAAACACCAAAAATCCCCTTTTTCAGTGTTGTGACTTTAAAGGGTCACTAAGTGGACCATCGTAAGTCGAGGACCGCCTGTATTCCCTTCCATGTAGGTTCCCCCACAATACCTTCATTCCTTTGACTCATCTGCTTTCTGATTATCCTTTGGAAGAAAGCGGAGTAGACAGTTGTTCATGATCGCTCCTATTATTATTATTATTATTATTTCAGGAATGATGCTGAAAGGAAATTATGTTTGAGATTGTTATGACGGGTGCATTCCCGCCTTCTTATGCTGCCAGGTAGATCTTTTCGGTTATCAAATCTGAAGTGCTTATTTTGGTGTAATGATAAGGGAGGCAGAGAAAGGGGCAGAGAAAGAAAGAAAGAAGAAAGAAAGAAAGAGGAAGGAAGGAAGCAGTGGGGGACGCAGTAGCTCAATGGCTAAGATGCTGAGCTTGTAGATCGAAAGGTCGGCAGTTTGGCGGTTCGAATCCCTAGCGCCGCATAACGGGGTGAGCTCCCGTGACTTGTCCCAGCTTCTGCCAACCTAGCAGTTCGAAAGCACTTAAAAAATGCAAGTAGAAAAATAGGGACCACCTTTGGTGGGACGGTAACAGCGTTCCGTGCGCCTTTGGCGTTGAGTCATGCCGGCCACATGACCACGGAGACGTCTTCGGACAGCGCTGGCTCTTCGGCTTTGAAACGGAGATGAGCACCGCCCCCTAAAGTCAGGAACGACTAGCACATATGTGTGAGGGGAACCTTTCCTTTTTAAAGCAGTGGTGAAATCCAATTTTTTTTACTACCGGTTCTGTGGGTCGTGCCTTGGTAAGTGTGGTGTGGCTTTTGGGTGTGGCTTGGTGGGCGTGGCACGAGAAGGATATTGCAAAATCACCATTCCCACCCCACTCTGGGGCCAGCCAGAGGTGGTGGTATTTGCCGGTTCTCCGCAACTGCTGAAAATTTTCGCTACCGGTTCTGCAGAACCTGTTAGAACCTGCTGGATTTCACCCTGAGTTAAAGTAACAATAAAGTTATTCTATTCTATTCTATTCTATTCTATTCTATTCTATTCTATTCTATTCTATTCTATTCTATTCTATTCTATTCTATTCTATTCTATTCTATTCCAGTCCATTCCAGTCCATTCCATTCCATTCCATTCCATTTGAGTCGACTCGACTCGACTCAACTCAAGTCAACTCAACTCAACTCAACTCAACTCAACTCAACTCAACTCTATTTTCTATTCTATTCTATTCTATTCTATTCTATTCTATTCTATTCTATTCTATTCTATTCTATTCTATTTCTATTCTATTCTATTCTATTCTATTCTATTCTATTCTATTCTATTCCAGTCCAGTCCAGTCCAGTCCAGTCCAGTCCATTTTATTCGACTCGACTCGACTCGACTCAACTCAACTCAACTCTATTTTCTATTCTATTCTATTCTATTCTATTCTATTCTATTCTATTCTATTCTATTCTATTCTAGTCCATTCCATTCCATTCCATTCCATTTTATTCGACTCAACTCAACTCAACTCAACTCTATTTTCTATTCTATTCTATTCTATTCTATTCTATTCTATTCTAGTCTAGTCTAGTCTAGTCTAGTCTAGTCTAGTCTAGTCTAGTCTAGTCTATTCCATCCCATCCAGCTTCTTCATTCCTGAGGACACAAGGAAACGAGATTTGTCCCTGAGTCTATATTGGTGGATGGAGTTTTTGATTACACAATTTTTTTATTTTTAGGCGATGATTGAAACCTCCCTCCCTCCCCCCCCCAAACTCTCCAGCAGAAATCCAGGGAAGGCAAATGCTGAATGCAAAAAAGAAAAAGAAAAAAGAAAAAAGACCACCCATAAAATTTGTCTTTCTCTTGTCTTGTAACTTGCTTGCGTTCCGTGTACCGGAGTGTATTGCATGGCAACTGCGTTCACACTTCTCTATAATAAAAGACTGCAGCAGATGGACCCACTATTAAAGTCTATCCCCATATTTGCATAATTATTATTCCTGCCAAGATGGAGCAGGGCTGATGTAAACTCAACAGGATTGAGTTTTAAGGATAGGCGGAGGGAGGAGGGAGGGAGGAGGTGGTGGGGAGGTTTAGTCAGCTTCTAGAATTCCCAAATCCTCAAGTTAGGAACTGACAACGTGCCCCAGAGATCTCTCTCTTTACCCCCCCGACCCCCCCCCCACAGCTTCACGGCCCCAGCGGAATTTCTTTAATTTCTTTTAAAGAAGATTTTAATTAAAGAACACAATGCGTGCGACGTTTCTCTTCTCCAAAGCAAAACATCAGCTTTGAGCATCATCAGAGTTCCCGCGAAGAGCCCAAGGCCACCTCTAAGCCCCAACGGGCCCTTGCTAAAATGAAAATTATGGAGGGGTTGCAAGCCACAGCTTTGTTTGAAAAGGGTCCCCATCTGTAGGAGGAGAGCAAGTTCAGCTGGAAGGCGGAGTTAAATGTGTCATTAGTTTGGAATTGTTGTGTTGGCACAAGCAAGCCGAATTCCGTTGATCCTTATCTGGTGACCGTTTAACTCTGATGGCTCATTGGTTACAGGTAGTCCTTGACCTATGACCACAATGGCGCCCCAAATGTATGTTGTTAAGTGAGAAATTTGTCAAGTGAGTTTTGCCCCATTTTACAACCTTTCTTGCCACCGTTGTTAAGTGAATCACTGCAGCTTTTTAGTTAGTTAACACAGTTGTGAATTGAATCCGGCTTCCCCATTAGCTTCGCTCGTCAGAAGGTCACAAAAGGGGATCACGTGATCCCAGGACACCATCAACGTCTCCGGCTTGAAAGCCAGCTGATAACTTTGATCATCATTCATATGAGCCAAAAGAGAACCAGGATTGTTCTCCTTCAGATGTGTGCGCCTCGTGGAGCCCTACGGACCCAGGAAAAGAGGAGAAGAAGGACACTTCCAATGAGGGTGGTTGAGCTGCAACATCCAACTGAAAGGAGCAAATCAAAACAATATCACAGAGAATGTTTATGGGGTTCATCAAGCATCCTTGGAAAGGAGAAGAGAACATTGGTGAGATCTGGGTTGAGTGGGAATGAAGTCCTTGGATTAGATCATAAATTCTTGGGCTTCTTGTGGTTGGTACATCATAGGGTTCTTGAGCTTCTTGATGTTCCTAGGGTTGGTTCTTCTACCTGTCCTTGAGGTTCTTGAGGTTGATTCTTCTTAAGGTTGTTGGGGTTGGAATTCTTGAGCTTCTTGAGGGTCTTTGGATTGGTTCTTCTAATTGTTCTTGAAGTTCTTGAGATTGGATCTTCTTGAGGTTGTTGGAGTTGGTTCTTGGAGTTCTTGAGGTTCTTTGTGTTGGTTCTTCTAATTGTTCTTGAGGTTCTTGAGATTGGTTCTTCTTGAGGTTGTTGGAGTTGGTTCTTGGAGTTTTTGAGGTTCTTCGGGTTGGTTGTTCTGGTGGTTCTTGAGGTTCTTGAGATTGATTCTTCTTGAGGTTGTTGGGGTTGGTTCTTGGAGTTCTTGAGGTT